AGACAGCAATGAGAACAGAAGCTCCAAAGAAGATCTCAGAAAGCCAACTTCAAGAAGTAAAGGTTGTGAGCACCAAAACTCAGAGTGCTGATGGAGCTAAAGAGAAGACTGAAACAAAGGATTCACTAATAAAGAGTTTGGTGAATGAGATTGTAATTGAGAATGCTAACGCTGAAGTTAGCACCCAAACGGCCCTGAAGCTCTCAATCAGAGATGAAAATGTGAAAACAGAGGAAAACATTGATCAATCCACAGATGTCAAAGCTTTAACTGCTAACCCTGTTGTTGTCACTGCTGACAAGGCAGCCAGTAAGGCTTATAAGAAACCCAAGAAAAGAAAAGAAATGAAAGAGGGCGTAGGAGTTGAAAATATTTTGACAAAGCAGGAGGATCAGCAGATAACAGAATCAAAGATAGACACCAAGCAAGACTCAGAATGCATTTTTGTAAAAGATGCATCAACCAACAAAGGTGGTGGAGAACAAAAGAAGCCCACTGTTGTTCCAGATAAAATACTTAACAGCACTGATGCTCAGAAGAATACTGATGACACCAAAGAAAAAAACAAAACACAGAGCGGTTTGAAACAGGAACTTGCGTCTTTAAGAGAAGAGAAAACCATAAACCTCAGTGGACCACATAAGCCTGCAAAGCCAACACTCAATGGCAATTTGTCTCTTTCCGCGACAGCTGAACCACCCGCAACATCTAAACATCTTCAGCTGAAAAAGGAATCTCCATCGAGCTGGTTAGATGTGCAGCATCAAAAACAGAAGAAGGAACCTAAAAGAAAAAAACTAAATGCCTCAGCCAGTGAGGATAGATCTCTTGAGCCTGATAACTTTGATGATTTTATCAGGACCATTAAGGAGAGCAGCATTCCCTTCTCACTACCGCCAAAGAGACATATTCGTAACAAGTCCCTGTCTCCACCCATGCAGGCCATAAAGGAGGACCATTTTGAGAGGACATTTGATCCAGAAGAATTCCAGTTTGGCTTAAGAAATACTGGCAAAATATTTCGGGATCCTTCCCCAGCTATGGTGATTAAACAAAAGGCAGCTAATAGGAGGGGACGGACCCTGGAAAAACATGCACAAGATGCTATGGACACATCTAGAGACCAAATGAAATCACTTGGTGAGGTGGAAGGCAAAAATGGAGCCAATGAGGAGACAAAGACTGAAGCAGGAAAAGAAGAGGCTGGGAAGCTGACGTCACGACTTGGAAGGATGTCCATCCTCTCCGGCTTACTGAGTTCCCCTCGGTCCTCCAGGAAGACCAGACAGGAAACTGCCTCCACCTCAGAAAGCACACCTTCTAACCAGCAACAGGGCTTGCTCTCGCTTAGAAAGCAGGGAGTTGTTGATTCACCTCCGCCTGCAGTTGAAGCAGATAAGAAGGGCCTGAAGGGTATAGATCAAGGCCCACTTACAGTTAGTGAGTCAGCACTCAACCCCTCCTCTCCTCCTCCTCCTCTGCCACTCCCGAAGATAAAGCTGCCTGATCATTTAGAGAAATACCTCAAGAAGAACAAATCTGTTTCTGAGACCTCCGTGGGCTCTACACAGATGACTAAAACTGAACTGAACCCCGAGGGTACTGTGATGGACCCGGCCTCGATATTGGGAGTACCTAATGTGAATGTTGGCCTGAAGGGCCCCGCAGGACTGCCTCCAGCCGGAAACAACAGCCAGCAGACTTCTCCAAATGGACTTACTACTTCTAAGCCTAAGGTAGGAGTTTCAGTATTTGAAATGAGCTCCAGTGAGTGTGGTTTCTCTTCCACTTCTTTAGTTATTACTAAAAGTCAGAGCAATCAACAGCCCTCAGCCTGAATGAGGTTTGAGCTTTTACGCAGAGCGTTGATATTTCCTAGTTTATGTCTCACTTTCATACCCTGTTCTTTTGTTTTGTGATGGTGTTGCAACAAAGTCGTGAATCATTTGCAAGTGAGGACAGGATAAGGGAATGTGTCCTCCGTGTGGAATTTTGCACAGAGGCCAAGATCATCTTATGCTTAACTATCACGTGACAATTACATATTTGCATTGAAATGCAAATAAAGCAGAACTATGCAAAAAGCACATGTTTGTGTTTGGATGAACACAGTGTGCATATCATACCTGCTGCACAACAAGTGTTCATATCTCTCCCTTTAGATCCTTCCAACCAACATGTACACTCAATGTTCCCTCAGTAATTCTCAAACAGGGGTCTTTTTTTAAAGCACAGGTTCAAGTTCATAATCAAAATATCACACTTTCTTTCAGATACCTGCAGTCAGAGGGTTCCACAAAAGACCTGGAAAGGTATGATTAAATGCCATTTTCTTTAATGCTTTGTGTCAATAACACATTGTTTGCTGCTGCATATTTGAATGAAATGTCTATTTTGCCCATCCAGATTGTCATTCACGAGGGTGCTCAGTTTGGAGGGCGGCCGTTTGAACTCCACTGTGATTTAGAGGATGCCACCACAATGAAGCTGTCCCCTGTCATCTCAGTCACAGTGGTCAGAGGATGGTGAGGGTCTTTGGAAGCATTCATTAAACCCGCAAGTGATACAATCGCATCATAAATGTAATTCACTAAAAACCTGCGAGTCAGCATAAATGACTATCCAGGTCACATGCCTGCACTGGCCATGTCTCAGAAGCATCCTACCAGATTCTTTCCACTGGCTCTCTGTGGTTCTCTTTGTCCTTATCCATCCACGGAGCTGTGTCATGTCTCCTTTAGCTATCCATAAACTGAGTCAACTTCACATGTTGAATGATGTAATGATTCTCCTCTTCTCTAGCTGGCTCCTCTATGAGAAGCCGGGCTTCCAGGGTCGTATCATCGCCCTCGAGGAAGGTCCTACAGAGCACATAGTGAACATGTGGGCAGAGGAGGGAACTCCAACGACACTAGACCAGATGAGTCAGCCTGTACCAACAGCACCTATGGTCATAGGCTCTCTTCGATTGGCCGTTAGAGTAAGGGAATCTGTTCATACATCAGTCTGTCATACTTCATACATATTGTTTTCACTATTGGTCCTGGTATGTTATTTCACACCTCTTATAATAGAACTGTCTCGTACCATAAGCTGCTCAGCTTGCTCACATTTGTACTCTCAATTATTCTTTGATCAGACAATATCTGATGTAATCCTAGTGTTGTGTATTTTATGTAGGTGGAGTTCTTATGTCTAGATTTAACATTAGAAATGTTTGTCTTCATTTATTAAGTATGAAATTGTTTTATTTTTCTGTAATACTCAAAGCTCAGTAACAAATCACAACAACTCATAGCTTACTAAGACTCTGCAGTAATGTATCTTCACTAACATTTACAATGCTCAGCAGCCTCAACTGTGGAGATTGATGTTCAAGGTTCAAACAGTTTCACTTCTATGCTGTGCTTGGTAGGACTATAGCGTACCCCGGATCGACCTGTTTGCAGAGGTGAACGGATTGGGGAGGGTGTCATCGTACTGTGACGGGGCTGTAGAGATCGGCTCCTACGGGATGCCACAGACCACCGGCTCCATCAAGGTTCATTCTGGGGTGTAAGTTCAGCTGACAGCCAACGGCTCTTTTGTGTGACTCATCAGGAGGAAGAGGGGACTGTATGTCTAGCTGTTGTTCCATTATAGAAGCGTCCTTCAGTTTCAGAGTTGGTGGCAACGCGGCTGCTAAGAGGTAGCTTTAAAGCCCACCACGATGCAAGGTCTCTGGAGAGGTTTGGGAAAGAGTTTGAGTGCAGCATCTGTTCCTTATCTATGAAGGAATGCATGCTGCTGGCCAAAGCTTGTGATTGACATAGTTTTAACTGCTGCTGATTATTGATAGTCAGCCCATTTTTCAACTGGTGTAGAGATACGGTTATGTATTTAGTCATTGCGTTATTGCTTATTCAAAGTACTGTGAATAAATAATCACTAGATGGACATTACTCTACCTCCCCTTCCTCTCCTCACCCTCTCTCCCATGCTGTCTCTGTGTGTCTTTAGCTGGCTGGTGTACACCAACCCGGGCTTTGGGGGTTTTGTTGGAGTGCTGGAGGTGGGGGAGTATTCCTGCCCACAGAACTGGGGGTTCCCTGAGCCCTTCATCGGTTCTATCAGACCCCTCCGATTGGTACAGAACATGAAATATATGATATATGTTTGCATTATACTGTCATTTTCTCAGTTGTCTTGATCTGACAAATGTGTGTCTCTTCAATACAGGGACCAATAAGGGTAGAGCGTCCTCACGAATTCAAGGTGTGTTGCATTACATCTGTTGAATCTATCAATAGCTGTTTATAGAAAGCACACAAAAAGTCGTCTATGTCACTTTACACAAACTCTACACAGGACGCACATCTACGGCCTGCGTTTACAACTACCGCTCATCTTGAACTCCTTTCTCCCCTTCTTTTACCCAGGCCCTAGTGTTTGAGAAGCCCAACTTTGATGGAGAGTGCAGAGAGGTCGACAGTGATGTGTACAACCTGCAAGAAGAAGCAGAAGAGGAGCAAACAGGCAAGCCAGACGAGAAGAAGAGGACGGTGTCTACAGTGGGGTCTATAAAGATACTTGGTGGTCTGTAAGTATGTTTGAGGTGCAGAGGGGGGGGATCAGCAGCAGCAGCAGCCAATGAGGATTTGCCAATCGTCTTTGTTTAGAATGCAACCGACCATTCGAATATTTTGCCTTTTTAAGATCAAATGAGATAAAAGTAAAAGTGAGTCCACCACTGTGTGTGCTCAACAAACAAACATCAGATCATAGGAGACGGCTCAAACTAATGGTGACATTCTAGTGATAATTCTTTGTTCTGTCCTTGCAGCTGGGTGGGCTATCTGGAGGCAGACTTCGAAGGCCAGCAGTACATCCTGGAGGAGGGGGAGTATCCTCACTGCAGTGACTGGGGAGGGTCTGAGGATGGGCTGCTGTCACTTCGGCCTGTAGGACCAGTAAGTATCGCCTGCAATTTTACTGACACATTGCAATTTTAATCTGCAGGATTTCTTGCTGGATCGTGTTTCCATCTTTGCTACCAAGCACTGATTGTTGTGGTGTTTCTGCACTCCACCTCTCAGAGTGTTGGCCATTTAAACAGTTCCAGCTGGTGACACTCAAAGAACTGGCAACCTAAAAGACTTGTTTCCTGTGTGGAAGAGTTCTCTCCTGGACAGAGAGGACTTGGGGAGGGGGGCAGTATTCCAAGAAAAAAAAGGATATTCTTTGAGAAGACAAAGCTTGAATATTGTTTGAGTTTATAAAGTCAAAGATTTGCATGAAAATGTGAATTTGACCTCTTCAGAAGAACAACATATTGATTCATTTATTTCTCTAAAGCTGATTTATATGGCGCTACAAAGTCTCTAATACGCCGTTGTAGACATGAGAGCAGTGGCTCTTCCCATTCTGAGTATTTCACTGTGTTATCTTGTATTATAGGATTTCCAGTCCCCTCACGTGAAACTGTTCAGTGAGCGACGCTTTGACGAACTGGGGATGAATGTGGACCTGCTGGGTCCCGTCCCCAGCATGGAGGACTTCGCCCACCGCGGCAAAACTCAGTCTGTCAACGTCATGGGTGGAGTGTAAGTCAAAGAAGAAATACTCACAAATAAAATTCATAAAGAAGGAGGGAAACATTTTGCCCTGTTAGTGTTTGGGCGTGTGCTTCTCACCTTCCATACATGACTCAGCGCTATGTCACCGTACACAGACAGACAGACCGAGAGGACACAATTATGAGTGATCTTGTGTGATTGATCAATTTGGGTAATTGATACGTCACATTTGACAAAGGGTAAAAGAAATCTTCCATCTCTTGAGGGCAAGGATTTACACTGATGATATGAATAAGAGCGGTGCATCTTTAGTTACTATTAAAGATCGACATTTACAAGCTTCTTTTCCAAGTTTCAGCATAGAAAACGAGGCCTAGATCCAGTTACAGTACATGCTGTACAGTTGGGAAATTAGAGGTTAAAGGCCCAGTGAGTTGGACTGTTTGTAAACACAACATTCAAAGTTGGCCCGTCTTCGCCAGCGGAGAAAGCCAACCCTAGATTCACTCTCATTTTAGAACGAGCTTTGTTGTTTCGTTATGTTTGCGCCTTGTCGCCCCTGTGTCCGCCATTTTGGTATTGCTTCTTCCTCTTGGATGCGTGCGCACGATTTGGCCCCTGCTTGCTACATTCATAGAGTTCATGTTGATGCCTAGAAATGTCCCGAACACGGCAAGATAAGAAAATCCAAGCAGAGGGCAACTTCTCTGCAGATACAGACACCACCAGTGTGACCAGAGATGACTGAGAAGGATTATTCTGTAGGAGTCTGTACATTACTCACTGTGCCTTTAAGTACCTACCTGTTTAAAAACAAGTTTTTAGTTTTTGTTAAAAACTAAAGTTTTTCAATAATGATTTTTTAAATCAGTTATTTATTTTTAAATAATACGTTTGAAACATGGCACAAGTTATTTAGTTAACAGATGTTTGTCAATCAGCCCGCTGAATGGATTTGTTTAACAACATCTTTATGTAACGGTCCACTGTTTGCTGTACCTGTGCCACGCCTGCTGAATGGTTTTACAACCTCTTAAAAGCTTGGACCTCCTCTTTTTATAGTGGCAGCATGCAGTTGAAGTCAGTGATTCACTCAGAGAGCCAGACTCTGCAGAGACCTCCAGTCTCTAATATGAGTTCCCTCATGGTGGTGTTTTGCATCTCAGGATGACGTCTTTGTGTCCCTGGCAGGTGGGTGGGCTTTGAGAATCCTGGATTCAGCGGAGAGCTCTACGTCCTGGAGAGAGGCCTGTATGCAGGCCCAGAGGACTGGGGAGCCTCGAACTTCAAGATCTCATCCATACAGCCGGTCTTCCATGTAAGAAGTGATGTGTAGGATCGCTTATAAACAGGATGTGGCTAATCAGGACTTTTCTTTACGTGGGAAATAGTGTGTGCCTTTGTGATGTTTTGAGTAAATGGCATTTTTAATGGAAAGTTAAAGCTTTTCAAATAAGTTTTAGCAACAACTGAACGAGCATTTTATTTGATTAAGATGATGTTAATACCTCCCTTCTGTTGTTTTATAGGACGCAATGATGGGAACAACCAAATTCAAGGTATCATTCCTCCATTCAAGACTTTATATAAAGCAGATTAACTCATGTTTCCTCAACCGTCCTGGTGGTCTGTTCTGCCTGGGTCGCTAGATTCTCTTTCCGTGTGTGTTACAGATGCAGCTGTATTCTGAGCCAGACTTCCAGGGAAGGCTGGTGGCTCTGGAGGACAGCGCAGCAGCTCTGGATGAGGACTTCATACCCAAGTCCTGTAAGGTGCTGGCTGGCAGGTAGGCACAACTGAACTGGAACTGTCATTCATGTATATATGTATGTATGTACCATGATACAGGGGTTGTGTGATGTATTATATGTATTTCCTTTTTTAGATCTGCATTTATCACAGTCCCTGTAACATATAACATCATAGCACTGCTGGCTTTTTGCCTATAGTAAAAAAAATGTATTAATTTACTTTTTTTAAAAATAGTTTTTAACTGCTCCTCCGCGAATCGCCACCTTAACGTGGTGGAGGAGTTTGAGTGGCTCAGTGATCCTGGGAGCTATGTTGTCCGGGGCATTAGCCCCTGGTAGGGTCTCCCAAGGCAAACAGGTCTCAGGGGAGAGCCCAGACTAAGAGCGGTTCAAAACGACCCCAATGAAAAGCAGCCCACGGACTTCAGTCACCTCGCCCGGACCAGGGAAACCGGGGCACCCTCCCGGAGCCAGACCCAGGAGGGGAGCTCGTCGGCGAGCGTCTGGTGGCCGAGCCTTCGCCCATGGGGCCCGGTCGGGCTCAGCCCGAATAAACAGCATGGAGCAGCCACCCTGTGGACCCACCACCCGCAGGGATAAGCATCGGGGTCGGGTGCAATGCAGACCGGGCGGCGGGTCAGGCGGGAGGCCTGGGCGAGCCGATCGCCGGCAGCATAGACTAGCTCTAGGGACGTGGAATGTCACCTTGCTAGCGGGGAAAGAGCCAGAGCTGGTGCAGGAGGTGGAGCGGTACCAGCTAGATATAGTTGGACTCACCTCCACACACAGCGCTGGCTCTGGAACCAAGCTCCTGGAGAGGGGTTGGACTTTGTCCTTTTCCGGAGTTGCCCAGGGTGAGAGGCGCCGGGCGGGAGTGGGGATACTCACGAGCCCCCGGCTGAGCGCCGCTGTGTTGGAGTTCTCCCCGGAGAACGAGAGGGTCGCCTCCATGCGCCTACGGGTTGCAGGGAGAAAGGCTCTGACTGTGGTTTGTGCTTATGCACCAAACAGCAGGAGTATCCGGCCTTCTTGGAGTCGGTGGGAGGGGTCCTGGAAAGGGCGCCGCCTACCGACTCCATAGTTCTCCTGGGGGACTTCAACGCTCACGTGGGCAATGACGGAGAAACCTGGCGGGGGGTGATTGGGAGGAACGGCTTGCCCGATCTGAACCCGAATGGTGTTTTGTTATTGGACTTCTGTGCGTGCCATGGTTTGGCCATAACGAACACCATGTTCGAACATAAGGTGGCTCATAAGTGTACCTGGTACCAGAACACCTTAGGCCGGAGATCAATGATCGACTTTGTAATTGTATCATTTGATTTGCGGCCGTATGTCTTGGACACTCGGGTCAAGAGAGGAGCAGAGCTGTCAACTGATCACCACCTGGTGGTGAGTTGGATCAGATGGCAGGGGAACCGGTTGGAAAGGCCCGGCAAGCCCAAACGTGTAGTGAGGGTGAACTGGGAACGTCTGGCGGAGGACCCTGTCCGGGAGGTCTTTAACTCCCACCTCCGGAAGAACTTCTCACACATGCCGAGGGAGGTTGGGGACATGGAATCCGAATGGACCATGTTCAAAGCCTCTATTGTGGACGCGGCCGCTAGGAGCTGTGGCCGGAAGGTCATCGGTGCCTGTCGTGGCGGCAACCCGAGAACCCGGTGGTGGACACCGGAGGTGAGGGAAGCCGTCAAGCTGAAGAAGGAGACCTTCAAGGCCTGGTTGGCCCAGGGGTCTCCCGAAGCAGCTGACAGGTACCGGCAGGCCAGAAGGGCTGCAGCTGCGGTGGTCGCGAATGCTAAAACTCGGGCATGGGAGGAGTTTGGGGAGGCCATGGAGAAGGACTTTCGGTTGGCCTCAAGGAGGTTCTGGCAAACCATCCGACGACTCAGGAAGGGAAAGCAGGGCTTACCCCAGGCTGTTCTCAGCAGGGGGGGGGGGGGACTGCTGACCCGGACAGGGGACATCGTCAGGCGGTGGAAAGAGCACTTTGAGGAACTCCTAAACCCGACCAACATGTTCTCTGCAGAGGAGGCAGTGCCTGAAGATCTAGGGGGAGGCTCACCCATATCCCTGGCAGAGGCCGCTGAGGTAGTCAAAAAGCTCCTCGGTGGCAAGGCGCCGGGGGTGGATGAGATCCGCCCTGAGATGCTGAAAGCGCTGGACATAGTTGGGCTGTCCTGGCTGACACGCCTCTTCAATGTTGCATGGGGGTCGGGATCAGTGCCCATGGACTGGCAGACCGGGGTGGTGGTTCCCATTTTCAAAAAGGGGGACCGGAGTGTGCTTGAATTACCGAGGTATCACACTACTCAGCCTCCCGGGGAAGGCTTATGCCAGGGTGCTGGAAAGGAGGCTCCGACCGTTTGTCGAACCTCAGATTCAAGAGGAGCAATGCGGATTCCGTCCCGGCCGTGGAACAGTGGACCAGCTCTTTACCCTCGCAAGACTACTGGAGGGGTTCTGGGAGTTTGCCCAACCAGTCTACATGTGCTTTGTGGACTTGGAGAAGGCTTTCGACCAGGTCCCTCGGGGGTTCTTGTGGGGGGTGCTGCGGGAGTATGGGGTGCCGGACCCATTACAACGGGCGATCCGGTCTCTGTACGACTGCAGTATTGCTGTGTCCGCAATAAGTCAGACACGTTCCCGGTGGGTGTTGGCCTCCGCCAGGGCTGCCCTTTGTCTCCGGTCCTGTTCGTGACTTTCATGGACAGGATATCTAGGCGCAACCGGGGGGGTGGAGAACGTCAGGTTCGGGGGTCTCGGGATCGCCTCTCTGCTGTTTGCAGATGATGTGGTCCTGTTAGCCTCCTCGGATCGTGACCTCCAGCATTCACTGGGGCGGTTTGCAGCCGAGTGTGAAGCGGCGGGGATGAGAGTTAGCACCTCCAAATCTGAGGCCATGGTGCTCTGCCGGAAACCGGTGGATTGCTCCCTCCAGGTGGGGACGGAGTGCCTACCTCAAGCGAAGGAGTTCAAGTATCTCGGGGTCTTGTTCACGAGTGAGGGTAAGATGGAGCGGGAGATCGACAGACGGATCGGTGTGGCTGCAGCAGTAAAGCAGGCGCTGCACCGGACCGTCTTGGTGAAGAGGGAGCTGAGCCTGAAGGCAAAGCTCTCAATTTACCACTCGGTCTACGTTCCTACCCTCACCTATGGTCACGAACTCTGGGTCGTGACCGAAAGGACAAGGTCGCGGCTACAAGTGGCCGAAATGAGCTTCCTCCGTAGGGTGGCCGGGCTCAGCCTTGGAGATAGGGTAAGGAGCTCGGTCATCAGGAGGGAGCTTGGAGTCGAGCCGTTACTCCTTCGCGTCGAAAGGAGTCAGCTGAGGTGGTTCGGGCATCTAATTAGGATGCCTCCTGGACGCCTCCCACTGGAGGTTTTCCAGGCACGTCCAACTGGGAAGAGACCCCGAGGAAGACCCAGAACACGCTGGAGGGATTACATCTCCCAGCTGGCCTGGGAACGCCTCGGGATCCCCCAGAATGAGCTGGAACATGTTGCCAGTGAGAGGGAGGTCTGGGTCAGCCTGCTTGGCCTGTTGCCACCGCGACCCGACCCCGGATAAGCGGAGGAAAATGGATGGATGGATGGATAGTTTTTAACTGTTAACAAAAATTGAGTGTCGATACAGTGATGACAACCTGCTATCACAATACTCAAGTGTGAATAAAGAAGTGTTATAAGAAGTGATTCTAAAAATAATACAGGGTTTTTGGCAAAAGTGAAGAACAATAAGACGACGATAATGTGTGCACTTGTGTGTCTCTGTGTGTCAGCTGGGTGGTATATACAGGAGCCCAGTTCACAGACGACATGTACGTGTTGGAGGAGGGAGACTACCCCAGCACGGAGGCCATGGGCTTCCTGTCTTCAGACGATCCCATTCGCTCCATACAGACCGCTGGACGCGTGAGTATTGTCCACATGGTTGTATGAAAAGATATATTTGGTTCCTCATTCTGTGCTGTTGATGATGAAGTCATTGAGATTAACAACAAATTCAAACTCTGTGGTCTCCTGGTTCAGGAGTTGTCTCTGCCCTCCATCGTCTTGTTCAGTAAGGCGGGCTGCAGAGGACGCAGAGTGCCGCTGACGGGTGGAGCTGTGAACCTGCTGCAGGCCGGCCTGGACACCCGCATCCGCTCTGTGGTGGTGGAGGGAGGAATGTATGTCGCTCTTAAAAGTCTCCACTGTTATCGTCCTGGTTTATTTAAAGGCACACTCCGTGTGCAAACAAAAGAATAACTGCATCAAACACTGGCAATCCAATCTCAGTCAAAACCGGCTCTCTAAAATACACCAACACGTCTAAATTCAAGTTATTAATGTTTATGTTTAAGTAGTTTTAAAACACTATCGTATGCATCTACATTTTAGCACTTGTTTTTTTCTATAACCTGTAACAACTTGTTACGGGTGGCTAATTAAATACATATTTAAATGAGCAAAGTTTTTAGCGAAGCTTTTCGAACTGTAACCACTGATGTGCTGAGAACATTTCAATGCTCCTGCAAAAGGTTTGACAGGGACACATGAAATTCCCTTAAACGGTGTTAGCTTAGCTTTCAGAGCCGGACGCGTTCTCATTAAGAAACATGGCAACGATGTGAGGACAGGAACCGTAAATCCTGGAGCTCCGCTTAAGTGTAAATAAAGACTGTTGATTTGTGATTTTACTTTCCCTACATTGTGAAGCTGAGCTAACACTCGTGGCTGTCTGTCTCTAGGTGGGTGTTGTATGAAGGCAGTAACTACCGCGGTCGACAGCTGCTTCTCCAGCCAGGTGAAGTGGTTGATCTGTGGAAGTTCAGCGGCAGGCAGCTAATAGGATCCCTACGTCCATTATTCCAGGTATGGAAGGAGGGATATGGAGCCCGTCTCCTGCATCGACTTACTGTCTGTTTTATTTATTCTCAGTTCTCAAGTTAGATTATATGAATAATATACTGTACAATACATAGAATACTAAATACAACAATGTATCGTGTTACATCAATAAAACAAGTCTAGTTGTAAAATACTTTGACCTGAACTCATGAATTAAATGTGGTTTTGTGTGTTTCCCTCCAACAGAAGCAGACGTACTTCCGTCTGCGGAACACAGAGACGGGATGCGTGATGTCCCTGACGGGGACTTTGGACGACATCACGCTGATGAGGGTTCAGGCTGTGGAGGAGACGGGAGGGTTAGAGCAGGTCTGGATCTATCGCGACGGGCAGCTCACCTGCAAGGTACAACATACCAACGCAACACACAAGGACCATAACACCAAACATCTACTCACCCACATCCTCTGTGGAAATACGGCCATCTTATTACACAGCTAATGGCTATGCGATTTCATCAAACAGCACCTACTTCAAATCTCAAGAGAACATACTTTTGTTTTCTCGTAAATTTAGTAAATTGAGTTTTTTTCCCCCCCTCCGGCTCCATGAGGATTTTTTGGCCCCAATACACCATCATAAATATTCGCCTTATTATCTTCAGTGTTTTGCTCTCTGATAGTCTTTTAGTTGCACTCACTCCCCAACAGTATCGGTGTCTATGCCACTATGTCATATTCCTAAATGAGTGTTTATTTCTTAATGTAACCTCAATCATTTTGTACACATTTTTTTTGCAACTGGTAGAAAAAACAACTATCGAGGCAAGTCTGTAACCACGACATTCTCTGTTTATCGCTGTGTACTTTGATGCAACTTCAGAAAGAGATTTAGAAGAACTTTTTAATATGAAATAACACATTGTGGTATCAAAGGCCGAGGCATCAGAGCCATGCGTCATGTGATAGTGTTGTAATTTACAATTAGTTAGTTTTATGCATTTACAAAAATGACTTAAGGAATGAATGGCTGCAACATATCGACCGGTTTAATAAGCGGTACCTTCCTCACCCTCCATGCCCTCTCTGTCTCTGTCTCAAGCTGGTCGAGGACTGCCGCCTGGAGACCTCAGGCAGTATGGTGATGGAGGGCAGCAGGCTTCGAGTGACCGCGGAGCGAGGCAAAGGCAACCACCTGTGGAACATCACCCCAGATGGCCGCGTGCACTGCCACCTCAAACCTGACCTGGTCCTGGAGGTCAAAGGTCAGATGACTGTCTCAACTTCAAACATACATTTTGTGGAGTTGGGTATTATGGAATAGATTAAATAGGTTCCACTCTGTCGGCATGTGATCAGTCTTAAACCAACAGCTCCGTCTCCTGGTCTAATGAATATCTGGCTGGTTGCACAAGTGCCTTCACAAACTTCTGTTTTGTCTTGAGTCCAATAGTTGCTGCTTTTCAACACATTTTGTACTAAATAACTGCATTTCATCATTTTGATTTCTCAATGACAAATGCAACCAGCTGGTGAGGACAGTCTAAAAACGTTTTATAGAGCAAAAACCCCGACGTGTGTTTGTCTATGCTTCTTAGGTGGTCATCAGTATGACAAGAACCAGGTGATCCTCAGCACCTGTGACCAGAGAAAACTGAACCAAAACTGGACCTTGGATCTCCTGTGATCTGAGCCCCCTCGCCCTGAACCCTGTGATGCAGCCCCACCGTGGGACCCACACCACATGGAGCCAGTCGGGGGTTTTGCGCAATCACTGCACCTTTTCTGTAGAATTATGACTGTTTGCTCTTGTTGAGTCATCCTTTGACTGGATCAACAATAGAACTATTCTCATAGTGGATGAATTAGTAGTGTAAACAATATTGCTTAATTTGTGCCACTTTACTTTGAACACTATCGACTCCATGTTTTCACTGCATGTATGAGAACTTGGCCCTGTTTCAATGCTGCATACCTCTCTTTACTGAATAGTACTTTTCCAATGCATGTTTTCAGAACATAATGTTGGCAAATATGAATGTATAGAGTATATTGACAGCTGCATTATGAAATCCGATGTGCCTACACTCCTTCAGGTTTTATTTTAGTCATTACTGTGGATCAAAAATGATCTATTGTAAAATGTAAACTATCTTTTTAGGACACGATATGTTTTACACAAACTGTACTTTACTGCATCAGGTTGTACATAAGCCTCGAGTGTATAGATTCGAGTTTAAATTTCATAACGGAACTGCAATAACAATGCTGCCCACTGTGGATTGTAAATATTTGAATGTAGAAGAGAAAACTGTTACACATGAAAATAACAATGCTATTTTCTGATTGTCTTTTTTAGAAAATAAAACAGTCTTTCTTTAGACTTTAGCTACCTCTTTGTGTGAAACTTTGTTAGAGTAGCTCATATTTCTCTGATCAGGTCCATGGGGTTGGGGTGGAATGGCTCTCACCAGAGCAAGATACTTGTGGCACTAACAAGATCCACTAATCACTAGTGGAGAGAACACCACACTCGTCCACGTCTCCCAGACTGCACATCTCCTCACCAAACGATGTGCAGCTGATCCTGAAGTCTCTGCTCATCAATACTCACCACCAGCAGAGCCAACTTCACTGGACTAATCTAAACCTGGTCCATCAAGTCAGGACGAGCCCCCATGTTACAACCCGACTCACAGGCTGCAACATGAAGGGAGACCAGACGAGTTCAAGGTAATAAATACACTTATTTAAAGAACACAAAGTAAACTAAACAAACATGCAGAGTCAGCCCAGGAAGAGCCAAGATCCCGGTTCAGGTGCTGAGTCTTGACAGCTGGAACTCCCATCAGGGAGTTATTTGTTTTTTTTAATAATGAAATATTATTTTCTCGTGTTCATATTATCATCATTTTATAACAGGCCTGAGCCTTTCGAGTTAGACATTTTATGCATTGTACAAACATTCACATGTAAATCCTCATGAAGTGAATTGGAGGAGAGCTTCTGGAGCATTCCAGTCCAATGTGACACTTCTCTGTTGGACTAATCCACATAGATCGTTGGGTGAATGATTCAGCAGCGACTGCTATACATTTATGAAGCTGCCCTTTTTGTTTTCCACAGAAATGATTCTGAACATTTATTTTTACTCGTGTTGTGGGTCTTTTTCTTGGATCCAATGAAACAGTATGCATCTTCTTGCTCGGAAAGAAGTTTCTTTAGACTCCTGTTTGGATGAGGAGCTTCACAGATATTACATTTCAGAATTGTACTCGACTCCTTTGTTATACGTCACCAGAACGTAGTGATTTTAGAACAGTCCATAAAACTGTATAGAAGTTCAAACTGACAGAGCGGATCTGCGGGGGTCAATCGTGTTTAACATTTGAGGTGTTCTGTGTTGTCTGTGTAGAATCCAATATTGTATTTCCTTAAATCCATTACACAGAAAGAGGGATATGTGTGTGTGTAATATATCTATATCTATCTATATCTATATCTATATATATCCAGTATACTACATGAGGTAGAAGGAAAACAATAAAAGCTCAAGTGAAATCCAGTAAATGCACGACTTGAAATTGAATTCTTCTTCCAGCGACTATCATCATTGATGAATAATAAAAGCAACAACCGAGTTCTTCACAGACGGTGAAACATACCTTCCTCTGCAGCTGGGCAATGTGCTTCTACAGCTTCAAAGTGGATGTTAATGAAAAGATGAACACATCTGAGGTGTGAGCAGCGTTGAGGCCACGCTCAGCCTGCAGCTCTAACACTTGAGCGGCCTCTAGTGACGCGTCTGTTCTGAGCTCCTCACTTGGTGCACTTCTGTCAGATATGTGGAACATAAACAACATGTATGACACTGAAATGATTTAGCAACACAGATGACATGGTTCACTTTGAGGGATCACGTAACTGAACGTTGGTAAAAAGCCACTGGAGTCGGCAGGATGGAGGTGAGACCCTAAGCATGATTCAAGAGTCTTTCAAAGGATTCTGGTAGCATGAATTTGAGTGTGGGGAAAAAGGGGCGGTCTACATGACGCTCATTAATGCCTGGTTCTTCATGTTTTCCTGGGTTGGATTGAGGGTTGTTGTACAGGGTTCAAGGTCAAATCAACCCATGGACATTTCATCATCTATGATATTGTAAAAAGTACTGTGTGTCTGTACGTTTATCTCTATCCACTTCTTTTAGTAGTTCATTGAACACGCTAATGTGCTAACATGTAAACTAACATGTTCTGTTCTCAGTCCTTTGAGGATCATTAAAGGGTTTTCCTGTTCTCCTGTGAGGGTCCTGGGACAGAGGATGTCCTATTTTGTACAAATTGTGATGTTGGGCTGTACAAAATAAATTGAAGTTAACTGAATTGAATTGCAACTGGTAATATTTTATTAAGAGCATTAGTGTAACACAGTCCACCGTGATAGTTTGTGAGATGGTTATCGTACGGTGAAGATCTCACACCGGTACAACCATAGTTGAATTTAAAAGGTGGGGGCGAGGGGATCACGAAGGACGATGAAAGTCCCTCTTCCCGCCTGTCTTACTGACCAGTTTCACATCTGTAATGATGATGTCATGGCTCACTGCCTTGCACATGTCATAGATGGTCAGTGCGGCGACGCAGGCGGCCGTCAAAGCCTCCATCTCGACTCCCGTCCTGCCCGTACAGCGGCACGTTGCCGTCACGACCGCGGCGTTCTGCGGCTCAGCGAGGTCGAAGGTGACAGAGATGTGGTCCAATGGGAGCGGGTGGCAGAGCGGGATGAGGGCGGAGGTCTGCTTGGCGGCCATGATGCCGGACAGCTGCGCCGCGGCCAGGGCGTCGCCCTTGGCCAGCTGGTGATCCCGGAGCAGCCGGAAGGCGGTGGGGCCCAAGAGGACGGTGGCGCGGGCCGTGGCTGTTCGACACGTGAGAGCTTTGCCGCCGACGTCCACCATGGTGGCTCGGCCCTGGGCGTCTGTGTGAGTCAGCTGAGCTTCGGCGACATCATCGGGGTGAGCGTTGCAGAAGTTTGTGCCCGGCTGTGCAGGTCGTTTCAGTGTAACACTGGGGTCTTTGCTGGAACTCTGACTGTGGCACAGTCTGACATTGTGTCGTTTGACATCTCTTTTGGCATTCATTAGTTGTGTGCAAAAAACAGGTGCTCCAGGGGTCCTGAGTGAGTGGCTGTTCAAAGCGTAAGGACCCCCGGCTTGTGGGTACCTGAGACGGTCTTCATTAATACTTGAGCTCATGACTTTTGTGCGTGCCGTGTTGGTGTGAGCGCTGATGAGATCGAGACCACGGACGAACTCAGAGGAGAGAAGGGGCGCTGCACTAAGGAGGCTGTCCGTGTCCTCACAGTTTTCAGTCTTGATATGTGACCTAACACGGGCCCCCCCTCTCATTAAGGGTCTAGAGCAGCAATCACGGGCAGCCTGTGTTAAAGCACGAAGGCACAAGGAAGCCTCTCTGTGCAGGACTGAGCGGTACCGCTGAGAGGCTGCTGCAGAGAGGAATGTGTTGTTTGGAAGAAGGGAAACCACGGGGAGAGCTCTCCGGCTGTCTTGCAACTTTGCCGAAGACAAAGGCCTTTGGGAAGTGGAGCCTGTTGGAAAAACAGAACATCAGTCAGGCACGCTGCCGATTTAGATGCATTATTGACAGTTCAGATCATAAGTTGCACACTGCAGCTCACAGACATGATGATCATAACATCACAAACAGATTGTGAGCAGTGAGGGATCTGTACGTACAGCCAAGTCACCCACCAATGTGGATCATAGGCCTGTTCTTCATCTTCGAGATGCTAAACATGCCTGAGGAGATAGAACAGGAAGAGATGGCATAACCCTGAATGATCAGCGGGTATAAATGATGCCATGCGTATAGAGTAAGTGAACACACGTCTACCTGCATGCTGTTTCTTCTTGCTGCCCACAGCGGCTCCGATGATTTGCAGCAGCTCTTCATCCGATGCCCCGGAGCGCAAGACATCTCTCAGAGACACCTCGGAGCTCCCAAACAAACACACCTGAGAGAAGACCGACAGAGGGAGTGAATACAGCCACGGATGGTTCCAAACAAAGATAGGTGCACACACACAGAGAGCGTACGGTACTTTACATCGCGGTACAAAGAGCGACTGTAGCTTTACCTTGAGGTTGCCATCTGCTGTGATACGCAAGCGGTTGCAGGAGCCACAGAAATGTTCGGACATGGAGGTGATGAAGCCCACCTGCCCTGTGAAGCCTGGCACTTTAAACATCTGTAAAGAGACGGAGAGGAGCGTCAAACTATTATCTCCGCGAAAGACTTCTTTGAAAGAAGTTGTTGCAATCACTCAAACCAATGTCTAAGAGCTTCATTACACAGAACACTTCTGGCCAGGAGTTAGATTTGTAAATGTTGACTTTAGTTTTCGGTTTACCAACCATTTAATGAATGAAATATTCCAGCACAAGTTGCTAATCGGACCGTAAACGATGAGCAGCTGAGGTTACACTGGAGAGATAATGGTGCAGTTGGAGGTACCGACCTTGGCAGTTGTGCGTCCGGTTTGAAGCATTTCCAGGTCGGGCCACTGCTGCCTGATGAGGTCCAGCATCTCCTGGTAACTCACCATCTTCTTAAAGTTCCACTTGTTGCCTGCAGAGAGGAGAGAGGCCAGTGGGGGTCAGTGGAGGATGCAGCACATCACAAGCTACGGCACCTTTCAGCTCAGCGGCCGCTCAACGAGCAGCACATCAGTGAGGTTTCACATTAACATCCTGGAACGCGTTTAAAACCAGCTGTGTTGAGTGACCGCAAACATATTATACCACTATAAACACTAACCACTGTTTATCAATACCATTTTATTGTTGTTACCTGAACACTGTATATTAAATATTCAACTGGCCTATTTAAGACTTGCTGTAGCAGCAATGAGCATTATAGGCACAATCAATCTGCAATCTTTCATTTTCAAAGTGTATTAAAGTGTACGTTCCATTACGGAAACCTGTTGCAGCCTCTGTAACCACTGTGGAATGGCTGGTGGTTTTTCTCATCAGCCGATAAATGTATCCCAGTACAGACCTCTGATCTGTGCCATTGCTCTCTTTAGGTACACATCCCAACAACAATGGATCTAAGGAGACGGCCGCTTCTATCATTTTGTCAAACTCTTTTTCCAGAACCCTTAAATTATTGGGCCATCCCAAAAGATTTCCTTTTTATTTACAATGTGCTTGAATGTGTAAACAACATCTACATACTGTATGAAAACAGCCCAGTAAGTTAGTGGGACTCATCAGACCTGTGTAATAAGGAAGCACTCACCATCGAAGGGCATGTATTCGATGAAGCGCACCTCCAGAGGCTTCTTCTCCGTCAGCGCCACGAAGTCCAGCAGCTCATCCTCGTTGAGGCCTCTCATCACCACACAGTTCACCTGCAGAGGGCAGCAGAGCCGAACAATCGTCTCAGCTCATGGACTAAACCACGCAGTAGCTGGACATTTGAACAACACACTTCCTCTCAAGTGAAAGGACGTACTGCAGTCTATAGCTGCATCACACGGCCTGTAGCTGCTACAAGACTTTGCTGGAATACACCTGGTAGACATCGCATGGCAGCTCGCTGCAGAAGTCACTCCGCCATGTTTGACATCTTAGCCAACATGCTATCATCTGAATGTTTATGGTATCGTTGCGTTACAAAAACTCTGCGACAGATGCTCCATTGTTCGTTAGTTTGCTTCCATGCTCGGTGCAATGAGGAACTATGGTATGCAGTGATTGGTCACACACAGCATATCAGGAAGCAGCTCCTTCATTCACTAACTTCTGGGGGCAAAGTGGAGGAAATATTATAGTCAGCTATTCTGTTACAACACGGTGCTGCCTCAGCACTTCTGCCATGAAGAGGAAGTAACAAACAACAGCCTTATCCAGAAATATCTGAAACATTGAAAACTACCATAAAGATTATTCAGAGAGTTGGTTCATTCACATGTAGAACATGGGGAAACCCACTGAAAATAGTTCTCTTTCCTGGCTTTTTTCATTCCAAGTATACTCCAATAATCACAATACTTTGTTTTGCAGCTTCTACGTTAGATATTTTATACAAATGTTACTAAAAAAATCATAATGAAAAACGAACAAAAGATAAAAACACAAAAACCTAAAGAAATATATTAAGAGAGTTTTAAAAACAAATAAAATGAACTAACGTTTGATGTCCGAACCTCTCACTCCCTCTTTCTGTCATAGATTTAAGGAAATACAATATTATCAGTTACAAACATCAGTTTGAACTTCTATACACAGTTTTATGGACTGTTCTAAAATCGCTAAGTTCTGGTCACATATAACAAAGGAGTGGAGTACAAATATGTAATGTAATATCTGTAAAGCTCCTAATCCAAACAGTCTAAAGACTCTGAAATATCTAAGTTACTAAATAAAGAAAATGCATATTATTTAATTAACAGTAACACAATGATTTTATTATTAAATTTCTTTTTGAAAAGTGTAAATAAAATACCTTAACAGGGTTGAAGCCCATTTCGATGGCCTTATCTATGCCCTCCATGACCTTGTGGAACCCTGTTAAACAAAGACAAGTTTGAAATTGATGATGAATGAAATCAACATTTTGCATTCAACACATTAATCATCCCTTGATATTGTGTTCATTCTGTGCTACCAATTCAAATGTAATGTAGAGCTGGTGTGTGAGTGGAGGGAGGTTGTCTGCAGAAAGGTGTCCTCCTTCAGTCCTCTTCTTGCACCAGCTGGTAACCTTCTCTGTACGAGGTGGGGCTATTGTTTAGTCATCTACAATTCTCATAATCACAATTAAATACCACACGTGTTGTACTTAAATTCTTAACTGAGCTTACTGAAGGCTAAGAGACAAGATTCCTTTCAGGCCATAGCACACACCTAATGTCTGCTAAACCTTTTACTGACAATAGCTGTAGGTGTTGTGGAGGAGGACGGCCTCAGAGAGCGCTTTCCTTTCTCCCTCCTGTATTTCCTGCTCTGCCCTGCTGTCGTCTCCACTCCACGTGACTTCAGACGTTACAGGCTCCTTGAGTAACCGAGTGGGACTGACCCACAACAACCGCCATCGCATTGATTTAGTCCGTTCACAACTTGTTAAGGACGGACCTTTCTTGCATCGGACATAGTAGGTCAAATACTTTTACTACCTTTCCGCCTGACAATGAACTCAAACTTGGCAGGGACCAGTGAATCCAGGCTGATGTTGATCAGGTCCAGGCCGGCGTCTTTCAGCTTCGGCAGAAGTCTGGCCAAGTTCATGCCGTTGGTTGTCACTGCAATGGTCTTCAGGCCCTCCAACTTCCTCAGTTCTTCTGCAGAGGGAGAGAGAGCATGGGACAAGGAAGAGAAAGAATGTATATGTATATACATATACAGTTGTGTGAAAAAGTGTTTGCCCCTTCCTGATTTCTTATTTTTTTGCATGTTTGTCACACTTAAATGTTTCAGATCATCAAACAAATTTAAATATTAGACAAAGATAACACAAGTAAACACAAAATGTGGTTTTTAAATGAAGGTTTTCATTATTAAGGGGGAAAAAAATCCAAACCTACATGGCCCTGTGTGAAAAAGTGATTGCCCCCTAAACCTAATAACTGGTTGGGCCACCCTTAGCAGCAACAACTGCAATCAAGCGTTTGCGATAACTGGCAATGAGTCTTTTACAGCGCTGTAGAAGAATTTTGGCCCACTCATCTTTGCAGAATTGTTCAGCCACATTGGAGGGTTTTCGAGCATGAACCGCCTTTTTAAGGTCATGCCACAGCATCTCAATCGGATTCAGGTCGGGACTTTGACTAGGCCACTCCAAAGTCTTCATTTTGTTTTTCTTAAGCCATTCAGAGGTGGACTTGCTGGTGTGTTTTGGATCATTGTCCTGCTGCAGAACCCAAGTGCGCTTCAGCTTGAGGTCACGAACAGATGGCCGGACATTCTCCTTCAGGATTTTTTGGTAGACAGCAGAATTCATGGTTCCATTTACCACAGCAAGTCTTCCAGGTCCTGAAGCAGCAAAACAGCCCCAGACCATCACACTACCACCACCATATTTTACTGTTGGTATGATGTTCCTTTTCTGAAATGCCGTGCTACTTTTACGCCAGATGTAATGGGACATACACCTTCCAAAAAGTTCAACTTTTGTCTCGTCAGTCCACAGAGTATTTTCCCAAAAGTCTTGGGGATCATCAAGATGTTTTCTGGCAAAACTGAGACGAGCCTTTATGTTCTTTTTTCTCAGCAGTGGTTTTCGTCTTGGAACTCTGCCATGCAGGCCATTTTTCTGTCTCTTTCTTATGGTGGAGTCATGAACACTGACCTTAATTGAGGCAAGTGAGGCCTGCAGTTCTTTGGATGTTGTTCTGGGGTCTTTTGTGACCTCTTGGATGAGTCATCGCTGCGCTCTTGGGGCAATTTTGGTCGGCCGGCCACTCCTGGGAAGGTTCACCACTGTTCCATGTTTTCGCCATTTGTGGATAATGGCTTCACTGTGGTTCGCTGGAGTCCCAAAGCTTTAGAAATGGCTTTGTAACCTTTTCCAGACTGATAGATCTCAATTACTTTGTTTCTCATTTGTTCCTGAATTTCTTTGGATCGCAGCATGATGTCTAGCTTTTGAGGATCTTTTGGTCTACCTTACTTTGTCAGGCAGGTCCTATTTAAGTGATTTCTTGATTGAGAAAAGGTGTGGCAGTAATTAGGCCTGGGTGTGGCTAGAGAAATTGAACTCAGCTTTCCAAAGATGTGATAAACCACAGTTAATTTATGTTTTAACAGGGGGGGGGGGCAATCACTTTTTCACACAGGGCCATGTAGGTTTGGATTTTTTTCCCCCTTAATAATAAAAACCTTCATTTAAAAACTGCATTTTGTGTTTACTTGTGTTATCTTTGTCTAATATTTAAATTTGTTTGATGATCTGAAACATTTAAGTGTGACAAACATGCAAAAAAATAAGAAATCAGGAAGGGGGCAAACACTTTTTCACACAACTGTATATTAGTGCTGGGCAAGTTATCGCGTTAACGCATTCATTAATTTACGCCGACAATTATTTTTTCGGCGTTAACGCACGTTAACGTTATTATTAAGCAGACATTTTTAACACAAGAACCGGGCAGCGAGCGGTGAAAAGCTGTATGTGTGTGTGTTTGTGTGGCGTCACTTCCTGCTGCTGCTGCTGCCCCCGCCCCCCTTCACTCCAGTCACTGTCTTTTTAAATGAACATATAAGCACGTGAGAACAAACTGCTCTTAACTCCAACCCTTTATTAGCATAACTTCCTCATGCACGTTACTGCCACGGTACAGACCCCCTCCAGGTTCCCTTGCTTCACCTACATTCCCCTGGGTCCTAAGTCCCTCCATGTACAGCTTCTTATCATCCTCTATGTACCAACGTACATTTATAACAAATACCACACACATTAGAGTTTTTAAAGTGTTTTGTTTGTAATATGTATAATAACCATATCATTTGATATGGTTATCATTTGATCGCTACTGAGAATTTAACAAACATAAAACATGACGTAGATAGGTTTGCAGTTTTCAAGGTGTATATTTCAAATTGCATCTCTTACACACATGAAGATAAAGTTGTGAACACCGGCTGAATATCTATTATCAGAATCATTATAACTGTATTTTAACTGCTGTGTAAAGGGAATAGATAGAAAATCTATGGAAAGATCAGAGTTCATAGAAGAGGCCCACGAAACCTTGAAGATTTGAAGACTGTTTGTGTGGAAGAATGGACCAAAATCACAGCTGAGCAATGCATGTGACTAGTTTCTCCATACAGGAAGCTGTCATTACCAACAAAGGCTTTTGTACGAAGTATTAAATAAATTTCAGTAAGCGTGTTCAATACTTTTTCCCTGTGTCATTCCATTTTATTACACATAACTTAATTTCTGAACATATTTGTTACTCTGTTCATTTGGACAGCAACGGGCTGGTTACTGTTTCTACTTGATGCAAATCATTTACTCCAGTCGACCCCAGTCGACAGAAACCTGTGAGGTCACAGTGGTGGCTTGTCACATGACATAGAAATAACAGCAGCTCTTTATGACGCACTGCTGTCTTTGAGCACGTCATGCTTTAACGTCGCTCACACTCGCACTATTGTCAGTGTGAGGGCCGAAACGGTCCATCGGCAAATCAGGCTGTAAAATTGTGTCATCAGACTGAGCACATAGCGGTGGTGTGACCAATCACTTCTCCTTCCACAAGTGTGTCTAAACCTGAAGCCATGCATGAAAACATGTCCTGTTCCTCATGTCACTGATACCTAGCTACACCACTTTAGCTCGGATTGTTTTTTAACAACAGTAGTGGTCACGGCCGTGTTTCTACATACGTAAATGCTGATGAGTTCATGTGAGCGGCTGGATACCAGAATCATAAAGGACAACACATCTTAACACGCTTCAAGCTGAAACACAGTCTTGCACTAGTTCCTTACTGAGGAAATCCAGCAAGTCAGGTTTGATGAGGGGCTCTCCTCCAGTGAGGCGGATTTTCTGCACCCCCTCGCGGATGAAGAGGCGAGCCAGGGTTAGTACCTCCGAGGTGGTCAGCAGTTGGCTCCGTGGTGTCAGCTTCACCCCCTCATCTGGCATGCAGTACTGACCTGATCACGAGGGGAAAGTGAAAGACAAGATGGCTCACATAGGTCTGTGGCAGATAGAACAACACGTTGAAGGGAGATCAAACGTCGGCGGTGCAGCCATCGTAGCCCAGTTCCACCAACAACGATGGTTTTAAAACATTTCATCTGCGAGGATAATCAGCCGGCCAGATCGATCGGTCTACTTCTAATACAATATAGCAAATGAAAGCATTATGCTGTTGCTCTAATGTTATTTCCACTGGATCTTTGCATCTCATTGAGTTGTTTATCTTTTCAGTATGTTCAAATGTTCTAGATAGAATAATAGCTCTGCTATGTTCCAAGGTGTCCTCAGTATGTTACTCAAGATGATCTATTATCATCACTATTGATGAACATCAACCTGCCCTCTGATGCAAACTGGTTGTCAAGTCGATTTGAGCCAATTCCCCAAAATATTTCTTAACATGTAATTCTATTGTGCAGTACTTCATTGCATACAACCTGGACCTGTACAACGTGTATTTTGTGTATTTTACTTTTACACTCTATTTCTGCCCCAGGGCTACTTAGATTGCACAGCACTCAATACTTTCATAGAGACAAGTACTGATTGGGATAAACTGAACTTTTGTTCGTGCAACATCCAATGTAATTCTATTTAAATGTATACAAATGAAAAAACATAATTTTATAAATGCTACTTCCTCTTTCTTTGTTAACTACAAGAGAGGATGTGTTTCCATCAGTAACAGTCGTGGTGGTAGCTATAGTATTGCTGAATGTGGTTTCTTCAAGTAGCTGGATAATCACCAGGAATAAAACAAACCAAAGCAGCTCAGGACCTCTTCAATGTCCACAGTGGGACCTTTACTCACAGCGCAGGTTGCATTTCTCCGTCAGGGAGATGCGCAGGTAGCTGTGCCTCCGGCCAAAGCTGTCAGTCAAGAACGCTGAGAAAGGCAGTATGCTGTCATCTCTCAGCCTCTCCTGGGGAGAAACCAGACAGGTCAACGGCATCGTTACACTCATCGCTCACATGAAAATAGCCAAAATTAAAAATTCTGGGAAAAACACAGGGATATGTGGTAATCCTGTAGTGGCTTCATTTATAAAAGTATCAACACTTCAAAATGTCTCATTTCCCAGTTTGTACATCCTTGATTCCGTTCCTCGCGCCTTAGTCCCAAGGGAGATGCTGGCAGAGGAGGCAAGCAAGAGACGAGAGGAGAGAGGAGCCGAGGTAACAGGCATTTAACAAATGAAGACATCCTGGCCTTCGGAGTGGTCATTTTAAAGTCTTTTTCTTTATTTTATGACAGATAAACATACCAGTGTTCATGACAACTAATGTATTGTGACAAGACTGTACAGATGTCACACAGGTTTTCAAGGCATTTTCTGACGTTGACTCTCCGTTAGTTGTCTACACCGCGTCACCGGTGCAGATGTCACACATCTGTACAGATGTCATTTATTTATTTAACACACACACACACGCATTCAAATCTATGAATTATTTATTTATGTGTATTGTTATCATTATCGCACAGCTCAGTGTGGTATTAGTACTTTTACTTAAGTTAACGATCTGCCAGCGTCTGCACCAGTGACTATCCATGTGTAACCATAGACTGTAGTGGATGTGGTCATCGTGACATCTTCCATTGTTTGTCGACTGCCGTTATGAAGCTTGGCGATTTCGCCGTCGCCATGTTGAATTATGGCTGTCGCCATGTTGTTGGTTTTGCAGCCAATGAACGGAGGTTACCATATTTGGAATGCAAAGGAGTGACGCACGGCTCTGGTAGCGGCAGCGACCTGTCAATCACAGTAAGCCCGCCCTAAAGCATCCCCTGCTTTATGGTCTGTTTGACTCTAAATGGACCATCATTTACGAAATGAACATCATGCTGTATTGAAGAAGACTTGAAACTAGAGATTGAGACCATAAACTCATGTTTACAATGTTTACCGAGGTAATAAATCAAGAAAGAAGTAGAGTCATTTTCTCACAGACTTCTATACAACCAGAGGAGTCGCCCCCTGATGGACACTAGAGAGAATGCAAGTTTTAAGACACTTTTGCATCGGCTTCACTCGACAGAACCGGAGGTGAGCCTTTCGACAACTTTTTACTGCGCCTGGGTTGTATCCCGATGATGTGACACGTGATATCTCCTATTTTATCTCTCCTTGGTCTCGAGCCAGAGGAGCGAAGGGAGGCATGAGGAGGCACAACATCTGGAACTGAGGAGGGCCCAGGGAGGTGCGCGTGGCTTTGTAAACGCCTCCGGACATTTGTCTGTCAACAGTGGGCTACTGTTATCAGCAAGCATGTGGGTGGGTTAAACACACTAAAATTAAAAGACTACAGTAATCTGAGGCTAATAGTTTTAAATTCCATATGGTTTTAAAGCATAAAAACTTTACTTTTGAGAAATGTGTCTTCCTAATTGATTCAGAAGAGACCACTCACGTGCACTGAGGAAGCTGAACTATGACCTTCACACAGCAATGGCTTATCTGCCGTAATGTGACGTTAGTTTACAACATTCAGAGGTTTAGTTTACACGAAGCTCCTAGCTGGTGTAAAAAACAAACAAACATGAAAACCATCTTAACGTTACTACACTGTCGTAAGGGCGGTCTTTAACTTACGTTTAATATTAAGTCCCTAAAAGAGTTCGACAGCTAGTTAAGCCTTTACTTGGCCCTTAACTGGACTGAGGTCGTGGCTACATTACAAACTGACTTCAATCATTAACTACCACCAGCTAACAACTCTATCCAACTGGCCTGAGATCAGACATTCACAGTGAAACAAACCCCAGCACGGAGTATGTCACTTGTTCGGTTAACGTTACCTGTCTTGACCTGGTTTTCAGGGACGAGGAGAAGTTGGCAGCGGATGAAGTCGAGTCTCCAAGTTCAGCCTCATTTTCCTTGTGCGTAGCACTGGAATACAGTCTCCCGTTCACGCGCTGGCCGAAGAGTTTTCTGAAATGTGGTAAACTGGCGTGTCTCCCAAACAGGCGGCAGCACATGCTAGCGTGCGTAGCCATGTTTGTTTCCTGACAGCCCCCTGAGGTTTTCTGTACTTAACTGTTTTCGGGGCTCTTGTCATGAGCTCTGCGCTGCAGTAAAAATATGTCATTCAAGACGAGGGGGAATATCAGGGGCATGGTCACGCCAGCCAATCGTGCTAACGTACGCCATAAACGCTGGTGCACACTGGGTAGTGTAGTCAGCAGGGGACACAAGCTCTTCAAGTACTTGGTGAGAGACCGTGGAGTCAGCGAAATAAAACTCATTTTTAGAGTGTTTCCACAATATAGCTCTTGATATTTATTCTGATATTTAAAAAGTAAATTGCAGATATGTCAATAATACACATGATAATATTGTGTAAATAATTCAGCGCCTCTTACAGTCACGTCCCTGTACAGTTAAGGTTACATAATCACTCTCCACCTCCCTACACCTGAATTTTGAGTGCAATCAATTTGCCAAAAAAAGGACACAAAACGCATAATAACAAAGTTAAAGATGAATTTGACTAGTTTCATTTTAAATGTTTCTATAGATACCGTGATAACATCGATGTGCGGAAATCTTTTGTCAAAGATAATTGTGTAGTGAGAATCTGATACCTGACAGCAGGGGCGTTTCTAGGATTCAATGAAAGGGGGGGCTTAGCCCCAAGGGGAGTGGCATGTTAGCGCATGGCAATTTTATTTGGGGCCCATTTGGGGCCGCGGATATCCATTGTTTCAGACAGTTCATAGATTGGTTCAATCAGAAAGAGTGTGATTTTGCTCTGTAGTTTTGCTTGCATTCAGTATATGATAACACAAGAGACAGAATTTCAGGGTCATAGTGAAATTTGACAACAAAAATATGAACTTTTCTCAAATAAAGAATATCCGCGTCACTCCCAAATCCTAATTCTGAAAGGGACCGCACACAATGGATGGAGAATGGACCCGACAGTGTCAACTTTATATGGTTAAGTATGATGATAGGCTATTGGATTGTAATTTGAAGGGGGAGAAAACATACAAACCAGAATGCACGCACATATGTAGCATGTTAGTTATAAATAACTTGTCCATGTGAGAAACAATAGTTTAATTTAATGACATCACCAAAATAAAAATATATATTTTTTTTCTTCTTTTTTTTTTTGAAGCCAATAATGCCAAATTATTTGGGGGGGCTGAAGAACATTTGAGGGGGGCTTCGCCCCCTAAAATAGGCCTAACGACGCCCCTGCCTGACAGGACGGCTCAATACACATTATCAGGAAGAAATGAACATAATACATTTACACACAGATGACAGATGTATAGTAGGAGCAGTGGCGGCTGGCCAATAGAGGGCGCTAGGGCGCCGCCCCCCCCTTTGAGCCACAAAAAAATAAAAAAATTAAGAATAAATTATACAAATTGTCAATATTTGTGTTTTTTTAAACATGGAATGCACCCAGTAATATTTGTCAAATATGATATCTGCGCAAAATATATGCTTTTCCTCCATGTCCACTCCGCCTGTCTGCATGTCTCAGCTGGCTGTGGCGCTGGAGAATCTGCCGACAGGAGGCGGGTCTATGAAGCACTTTAGCCAATTGCTGATTAAAGATATAAATGTGTGACATACAATTTAGCCAATTAGCGTCCTCAAATACATTCAGCGATGGGCAGAATTCGTTCTGCCCTAAACTGCGCGTTCTTGTCAGGAGTATAGTCTCTACAGGCGAGCGTGAGCGCCAGCGCCAGCACTGCTCCTCTAAAACCCGTTTGAGAGGAGAACGTTTGCGGAGAAACTCCAGGTGAAAGAGCTGATCCCAGATCAGCCTGATCCCAGATCAGCCTGACCCCACAATCAGACAGCAGACTAGCGGGAACGGGAAGCAGTACATGCGAAGCTTCTCTAGTAGCTGTACACCAGACAGGTTTGGCTGGATGCAGTCATGCTAATAACTTAAAACAACGGGGACAGATCCAGCATGGACAGTTACGGGAGTGAGGGACATGAAGCACCTGTCTGAGAAATGGATATATAGTTATAAATAAATAATTATATATGTCTGTGTGTTTTATATTATAGTGAATATTATTATATGATATATATATTGTACTGAATTGCTTGTGAGGGTGACAAAAATAACATGTCCTGATGTGTTATTTACTGCTTTTTTTCATGTTAGAATAAATGTTAAATATTTAACTGCAAAGTAGTAATACGTGTTTGATACCTTCATTTTTTTTGCATTAAATCATTCTGGGATGTTTGCTGAAATTGATTGGATGTGGCACAGCCCTACCTAGAACATGTTCCACCAGCCACCACTGTGGTTTACCATGAACTAGAAAATCTTCAGCATGTCCTGTCCAAAATGTACCAAGAACAGAGACAAGGATTGACTGTACATCTGCCCCATTCTTTAGTCTTTTGTAATAATCCTTACAATATACTCAGTGATGTTTTTTTGTGATATTTTTTAAATTTAAGCAGCATTTTATGTGTGAAAAACAAAGAATTTCACAAAACACTGGCATTTCAGAAAACAGTGACATTTCGTGAAGCAAAATGACATATCACATAACAAAGACATTTCCCATAACACAAAATATTATAGTTCAGAGTGTACAACAAACAGAAGTAGTTCCTTTTGCAGTGTTCTCACTTCCTTATTCTTTTTTTCAGGTTCTACGGCAAGTTCCGCCTAATTGTGCTGTGAGCGTATATATTTTGCGATATTATAAATACATTTAGTAGCAGTGGCATGGAGAGCCGAGGCCGCCAAGAGTCATCTACACCAGTGGTCTCCAGTCACCGGGCTGTGGACCGGCACCAGGCTGCAAAGCATTTGCTACGGGGCAACGAGGAAATGTCGAAAAACATACATAAAATAAAATAAAAACTTAAATACTACACATGTAGCAATATAGGCTATTTGTGCGGAAATTGAGCCAGATCTGCCGATGCAGACTTTGTTGTTGTTTAGTTATAGCAGGTGATACCCAAGGCTCCAGATTTGTTTTTTCACCACCACCATGAAAAACCATTTCAACCACAGTCAACCCAAAGTCAAAGTAAACGGCCACAAATTCTTAATGGTATCCTTCTTCTTTTATATTGCCAATCTTTAGTGGTTATTTGCATTTGTATTTTTAGTGACAAAAAAAACTTGGCATTAGTGGTATTATTTATGCATTATCAGCTGCTTAGAGGTTAGGAAATTACACATGTGATAACTCTTTCATCTTTTCTCGCCAAAAACTATAATATACAAGATTCATGTTGTGACGACCCTCTCACTCTGCTGGCTGTGTTCCTGCTCAGGGTTTCCTGGTGGGAGGAGTCACCTGCACCAATCATCCAATCATCTGATTGGAGCCTCCAGGAAGGCAATAAAAGACAGCCTTCTGGGAGTCTCTCTCTCTCTCACTCAGCAGGGCCTGCTGCACCATCCTTGTCCTTTGTTCATTATGCGGAAGTTGTGCAGCTAAATAAACTGTTTTTGGGTTAGATCTCTGTGTGGCCTCCCTTTTTGTTGCCGGCCTTGAGCCAGGAGGTAACAATGTGAACACATCATGATAATGTTATAATTTACCTTTTGTCAGTACTGATTTTTACTGAAAGCATTACTTGATCGCCTCATCATGTAACTCAATGAAACCTCCATACATTAGCGGTTAGCTCCGGTGCTGCTAACGTTACGTTACCCATTCCAACATGTTGTAGCAATATCAGGGATTGGAAAATAGAAAGCATGAATGGCGACATCTCGATCGCATATTTTGCCTGATAACGCTTGTCATTGAAACTTGAATTCACACTATGACGGTTTAACTGTGTAATTACTCTGTGATTCGCATGCATGTGTGGCACCCTGTACAATTTAATGGCTACAATTATTTGTACAGTTTTTATTGTATTAGTTGTGTCATTACCTTGCCCCCCTCACTATTATTTTCTGGTTATTAGAATTTAAAACGCTTTGTGTGACTTTTAAACTCGCCTACTTTCACCTAAAGTAGCTGCAGGGCGATACTCATTTTCGACAATAGGTGGCAGTAGCGGGTTTTGGTATGACTGGCGCTGTAATTCTTGTCTAAGATAAGCGAGCTAGACCAGAAAGGATAGTCGAGATCGCAGAAGCAGATATTCATCTGAGACTGTTTTGTTGTTGTATTCACAGGTGAGAGAAGTACACAGGCGCCATATACATATATATTAAATTCGCTCGGTTTTGCGGTGCCATGTTTTGATGTTTATAAAGTGTTTAATACTGAAACGTAGGGCGGCTAACTAAGGCTAGCATTATTAGCTAAACGAGGCTATTCGCGCGCGCTAGCGGTTTAGCGCCATTGTAACGTCAGTAACCTGGCCTGATAATTGTATTGTTCCCATGTAAGGTTATATACAGATCAATGGTGTGTCCTGTGACAGATATAAGCAGTAGTTTGTTTGGCTGTATAGTATTTCAAGTTGTGTGTTCACAATTCATGTAATTCTTGTCTAAGATAAGCGAGCTAGACCAGAAAGGACAGTCGAGATCGCAGAAGCAGATATTCATCCGAGACTGTCTTGTTGTATTCACAGCACAATAAGGTAATCTGGAAAACTGAATGGACATCATCATCATCATCATTCAGTGTGTAACATTTACACCAAACCAACGCAAGATAAACTGTTTGTAAAAACTCTTTCAGAACGTTGACGTAAATTGGCATTACCTATACCGTGGATCCGGCGATCCGAAGACAAATGATGGTGGGACCTGATTTTAAAAGGGAGCACAGTTTGAAGACCACGAGATGACCAGCTTTGTAAAGTCAGGTAGGTCCAAAGTCACCTACCTTCACTCACCTCATCTGAGGATTAGTAGTCATGCACATATAACCACCTGAACCTGTGTAAAGTTACTGTTTGTTTGTTTGTATGGAGGCGTGGGTTCAAATCTCACTTCTGACTGCCAGTGATTTTAATTTGGCCTATAAAACGCTAATCTAACTAATATCGCTCCTTCATCAATGGGATCTCTGAGGAAGGGAGCTGTAAATTAATGCAATAGAGGCTTCTTAGTTTGCTCAGCTGGTTTTAATGGATCACCATGTGTCTCACTTTACATGCATTTCCAGAACTCCCGTATAACCCCCA